AATGTAGCACTTGAAGTCATGCACAAGTGACTATGCAGTGTTCGCATAGAACTGAACTCCCACACATACTTCAGCCCTGTGAGACATTTCCTCACCCTCTTAGTTGTATGCATATATCTTTTCTAATAACCATATGGTGACCCCCACCTTAAAAATGAAAATGACAGGAACAAACACTTGCAGTCCATTGCCACACTGCCAGCAAAGTGCAGAGTGAGAACACAGGAACCTTAGCCTTTCAAAAGGGTTTGGAAATGGGAACCACGACCGAAATATAGATGCAGGCCACTCCATGGAAGCCACTGCCCACCCCGGCAAGGTTTGGGTGAGATTAGAGGCACCCCAGAGCCCGCTGAGGGAGGAACCTCCTGACCCGGCAGAGGGAGGAACCCCAATGGGGTCAGTGGACCCCTCGGACCCACGGAGGTGCCCCCCCCGCCGCGCGTTCACTCTAAGACAGACAGGCACCTGGAGACTGACGACAAGGCGCCTTTATTGAACCCCTTTGGGAGAAGTCGGTATCTTCAGCGTGGCTTTCACTGGTCACCAATCTTCCCCGGGGTCCTCATCTTCCTCGTCGTCCTCATTTTCCTCCCCGCGCTGCGTGGCTTGAGTGGTTTGCCACCGTCACTGCTTCCTGCCTCAGGGTCCGGGTTGTTCTCGGCAGAGCCGTGGGCGCAGGCCCTCTGGTAGGCGCCGTACTCGGCCACGAGGCGGTGGTGCTGTTTGCGGAGCTTCGCGGCTAACTCAAAGTATTGCCGTTTGTCTCGCTTCCGCTTGTCCCTCCAGAGCTGCCCTAAGATGCACGTTCGCATCCAGGTTGACAGTTTGGGGTTTTCGGACTTTATCCGGGGGCCCGCGTCCCTGCAGTACAAAAGGAAAGCAGATGGTGGCTTCTTTGGGACGCTGGGCTCTCGGGGGACTCTGGGGGCTGGATCAGAGCGGCTGGAAGTTGCTCTGACCGAGTCCCCGGAGTGACCGTTGTCGTGGACCACAGGCTTGGTTGTTCCCGCGCCGTCCCTGTCTGCCATGCTGGAGCCGCAGCGCCAGCAGTGCTGGTTCTGGATCTTCTGTTTTTTGACACATTTCGCTGAATGAATGTGGTCTTGTTTACTGTCCCTAGTCTTCTGCACTCTCTCTGAAGAGCGGAGAGCCAGCCGTTTCTCCGATGCTAGGGATTTTCTTTGAGTTTTCTTCATGTTGTCTTCCGTGGGCGTTCAGTGATGTTCAAGGTTAGTGGTGTCCCGCTCTGTGGCTGAGGGCTGCGGGGCTGCCCTTATATGCGCTGATGAACAATGCGCCTTTGTGACATCTCAGGGTGCACATCACAGCTCACATGGTTGCCATGGCTCCCTCTGAAATTTTGACTGGGAAATGTGTCCTTTGAATAGACGGTGGAAAGGGCTCTGAGTGTGTTTGCCTAGCACATTGCTGAATCGGGTTCGATCCTCGGCATCCCACAGGGTTCCCCAAGCATCGCCAGTTGTAATAGTCCTGAGTACAAAGTCAGGTTAAGCACCAAACACCACCAAGTGTGCTCCCCAAACAAAACAAATAAAATATAGGTTAAAAAAATACCCTTAAGTAACATCTAGGCTGGTGTTTAATCAAACCCCCGGGCCTCTTGATCTAGCCAGCTTGTCAGCAAGCTATGGGTTCCTAATGTTGTGTCTCTTCCCGTGTGAATTTCGTGATTCCTTCTATTGTTGCTAGTGACCATTTCCTAATGTATCTGGGAGCACACAGGAAAGAGTGGAAGTGATCTAGCCACTTCTTGATCTAGCCAGGTTGACACGTGATATTGAATGGAACTATGGGTTCCTAAATTAGTTGTGTCATTTCCCAAGTGAATTTCAGAATTCCATAAGGCGCTCTAGTTGGTGACTAACAACAGGTACTTTGTTGTTAATAATATACCTGGTAACATAAGGGAATAAGTAGAAAGGATCGTTGGTAGCTTCGCTGATTTCGTAGCTCTTTGGGAATGATCACGTGTATGTAAAAATGAAAAGCAACATGTTGAGAGCTCAATGGAGTTGCAAGCCAACTTCATGCTATCCTGGAGCTCCTGATGTAGCTTGTTAAACTCATTATTATTGCATAATATATCACTAATTTTTATTTTCATGTTTGTTTGTTTTTTTCATTTTCTTTGCCATGCCTCAGTTATCAGAGCTTACTCCTAACTCTGCTCGGGGATTACACCTGGTAGTGCTCAGGGAAACATATGACATAACCCAGCATATATATATGTATGCTCGAGCGGGCCCAGTAACGTCTCCATTGGAGACTTTGTTGTTACTGTGTCTGGCATATCGAATACCTCACGGGAAGCTTGCCAGGCTCTGCCGTGCGGGCGAGATACTCTCAGTAGCTTGCTGGGCTCTCCGAGAGGGGCGGAGGAATCGAACTAGGATTCGCCATGTTGGCTGCGTGCAAGGCAAACACCCTACAGCTAAATGATTTCTATATACACATATATGTATTTGTATATATGCATAAATATGTGTATGTGTGTTTATATTTGTATATACATGTGTATGAATATGTATATATATATATGTATATATATATATATATACATACACACACATATACAAACAGGCACACTGTCCTCCCATTGTTCATCGATTTGCCCGAGCGGGCCCAGTAATGTATCATTTTGAGACTTGTTGTTACTGTGTTCGGCATGTTGAATACGTCACATGGAGCTTGCCAGGCTTTGCAGTGCGGGCAAGATAATCTTGGTAGCTTCCCAGGCTCTCCAACAGGGGTGGAGGAATCAAACCCGTCTCGGCTGGGCTGACTACATGCAAGGCAAACGCCCTACTGCTGTGCTATTAAGGGTTCAGAGCATATCTGCTTATACAGTAATTCCTCAAATAATTTCTTGGAATTCAGAGAGAGAGTAAGACAGGCCGAGCATATGCTTTGCCTGCAGGGGACCCGGATTCAATCTCAGGGTCTTAAACACAATCAGAAGAAACCTCTGAGCACAACACCAGGTTTTGCCACTACCCTCCATTCCCATACCAGATTCACTGGCTGTGGTTCCAGTAACAAAAAATACAGTCTGATTGTTTCTAACTCATTTGACTGTGTCTTTAAACCAACATTGCCATATCTATTGAGGTGTTCATTATACCCAAATCCCAAAGCAGTGAACTTCTGTGCATTCCTAATTCCATGAGTGTAGGAATTTATAGCTATATAAATATTTTTCTTTTTTCCCTAAGTTCATGTTGGTTAAAAGTTGAAGGTGTAGTGCTACAATACCAGTAGAGTAGATAGGTTTTAACAAAAACACATCATTTTCCATATTTTAGCACAATAGGAGTGATTTTCTCATATATGTGACAATGTATATGCTCTTGGCCAAGCAGCTTTTCTGTACGTGGCATTCCAGATATTGGGTTCTTTTCATCTTTTAATATGGCCAATTTAATTCTCCTTGAGAGGAAGTAGACTTCTTGATAATGATTTAAGGGTCCATGTGCTTATTTTTGTCAAGGTGGTACATATCTAGGCATTTTTCTAGGAGCATGTGTGTAGATGTTTAGGTGAATTACTAGCAATAATGGATAGCTTTGGTTCTGGACAATCATCACCAATTAGAAAATGATTTGAATTTTAAGTTTTTGCGCACCCTTCCTAAGACTAAATCTAAATCTCTAGGGCTAACACCCAGTAATATGTGGTTTTCAAAGACTTCCAGGTGTTTCTAATTATTCCAAAGTATGCTTACCACTGCTCTCGATCAGCTTTTCTTAACAATGCCATATGACACTCTATGGGACTCCAGAATTTTCTCTTAGGTCACATACAAAAATCCTGTAAACGGGGCTCCATGACACAAGAATAGGGACCATCTAGTAGGACAGGGGTTCCAAAAAAACATGGTTAAAGGGTTCCATCATTGGAAAGAAAGATTTACTAAACTTTCTTGAGATTATTTTGGCTTCATTCTCCCCTAATTTATTGAGATCATTGCCTTTATGTCCTAGGCTTCTAGTAACCCTCACTCATAATTTTAGAACTTTCAGCTGAGGGCTGTGAGTCATAAGTTCTAGTTACATTGCACTGGTGATTAGTAATCCTATGAACACACATTACTATAGACAAGAAACTTGTCTCCACCCATGAGCTGTTACTATCAAAGTCTCGGGTATTTTGAGCCATTTCACGTTATTTTATTGCTGAATATTGGTGATTATGGGAGTATTTACACCATAGAAATTGGCAGACACAAAACTTTTGTGTCCTTCATTTTGTTTTGCTTTCCATCAGCAAGCCTGTTGTCAAATACTAGCACACCACTTAACAGTGAAGTGGATTAACTGAATATATGAGGAGACAGAGGCTTGAAATGGTCCCCCAAACTGTCCTATGTTACACAAAATTGACTTAACATCTATACTCTCAACTGGATCACTCATAGAATAAGTGCATGCCTCTTTTCAAGGAAGTTATCTGTAACTAAATCCCCTGAAAGGTCTGTTAGCTAAAGTACATCTCTGGACCTGTTTTTACCATTTAAGAGAAGAAATTCATCCTTGATGGGGCCTCTAACTGATGTATTTTTTATGTGCCAAGCCACCTCCTGCCAAAAGATTTTAATATTATTGACAAAGATGAGCTAGCATATTGCATTTTTGTAAATATTTTCTGAAAAATTCTTATAGCCACACTAGATACTATTTAAAAAACTCGGATACAATTGCCATTTTTGTTCTTTTACTTGTTTTGCTTTCATTAGTGTTTGTACCTCACTTGAATGAAATTGTGCCCGCAGCAAAATCCAGTATGCAGCAAGCAATACATATGTGTAGAGTAGATGACTTAAATAACTCTGATATCTTTAAAAGGAATTCTACACAGAAAATTCATTTAGAATTATAATAAAAATACAATAATGCATTTGGAAAATGAATGAATAACCTCATGAATTAAGTTGTCTGTAAGATGATAACTCTAATAACATTTATGCTTTTCTATTAAAGAAGAAGTTAGAAGAACTGAACTTGGAGTGGAAGGTGGTGAATCATTTACTTCAAGAACTGAGGTCGAAGCAGGCTGGTCCAGCCTCTGGACAGACCCCTGCTGGAGGCCGTAAGTACACTGGATTGCATTCTTTTCCACTGTCCTCATTGGCAGGAAAGCAGAACTAAGAGATCCCTGAGGGACAAGGAAATATTATTTTAATTGAAAGAAACCTGGATGTTATTTACTAGGCAAAACATCTCAGAGTAGGTTTATTGAAAACAGACTGATTCAGAGTATTGTATAACAGAACTAACTGTATTGGGGTGATCCAAAGAATGACTAGCAGTCAAGAAAGTCTGGCAGGACCTGACAGTACACAAGGTTGAAAGGTGACTTGACCTAGAGCAAAGGCCTATTTCAATCCCATGGAACATTGGAATTGGACTGGTTTTATAGAGTTAGCCTGGAGAGAGGGGCTGCTCTTTGTATTTAGTGTTGGGGAATAATCGCCCCAGGATTGCCAATTGGGAGGAAAGAGAGACCTTAGTAATGTTGATGAAAACCAATCAGTGCCTTGGGAAAAATAGGATAAGCAGCAAATATTCCTACAAGGAGGGATCGGACAGACTCGACTGGTGGGGTGGTTAAAAAGACTTTATTATTTTTGGCAAAGGTAAGGTAAAGGTAAAGGCCCTCCCGTTGATTGTCGATTTGCTCGAGCGGGCCCAGTAACGTCTCCATTGGAGACTTTGTTGTTACTGTGTCTGGCATATCGAATACTCTCGGTACCTTGCCGGGCTCTCCGAGAGGGGCGGAGGAATCGAACTCGGGTCGGCTATGTTAGCCACTTGTAAGGCGAACGCCCTACCCGCTGTGCTCTTTTTGGTAAAGTTGGTTAAAAGACTTTTTCAGCAAGATATTTATGCAAGAGAAAAAATTTAAAAATATAATTATTTGGTGGAGGGGAGTGGGCTACACCAAGCAGTGCTCAGGAGATACTCTTGGCTCTGTGCTCAGAAGTGGCAAATAGATGATGCTTGCAGCACAAACATGTGTGTTACTGGGTTTGAACAGGGTCCATCATGTGCAAGGCAAGTGCCTTGAACCCCTGCACAATCTCTGCAACGGAAAGTAAGATTTTTAAAGATATGAGAGACAGGTCTGCCCAGAACAGCTTCGGGGAGCTCTTTAATGTGTTACTCAGGGAAATTTTATTTTTAGGAATATCAGGAACTCGATGTTTCATAGTTAGGAATTTCACTGTTGGCCAGTAACTAAATGGAGAATTTGTGCTTTGGATATCACCATTGTCTGGTCAGTGAGTGTGGGGTGTGAGTACTGTTTCATTGACCTTCAAGGAACCATAATTCTGAAAAGACCCAGAAACTTCAACAGTTTACTGTGGTCATTTTGGGTCTGAGCCAAGTCAGGTCTGTGATATGGGGACTTGATCACTTCAGTGGAGGATATGTTGTCCCTGAAGAGGGGATAGGGTGCTGCCCCAGATTCCCCATGCCAGTGCCACCATTATCGTTTGGGCCAGTGACCCTTGAGCACTGCAGAGTGTGTCCACCCACTTACAGAAACCAAGACATCATAGGAATAAGAAAAACTCTCAAACCACAGACACACACATACAGTCCCACCAGCATCTCCCCCATCTTAAAACTCTCTGAACATCTCTGGGCTTTTCAGTTCAAGAACAAGAACAATGAACTGTGACTGCCATGGGGCTTGGGGAATGGCTGCTTCGTTTTGCAAGAGTTTTCATTTTTTTGTGTTAGCTGCACATGTCTGCCTTCTTAATTTCTCTTTCTCTCCACTGGTTAATAGAATGGATGCATAAAATCTCATGGCAATATTAATGCTAGTTTTGAATCTCGGGGGAAAGAAGCCACAACACTTCTTTGCCGTACTACTACTATAATTAGAACTAAAAACACCTTTGGTGATTTATTACTTTTATTTTGTAATTTTTCTGTCTTGTCGACTTTTCCAAGATCAAATAATTGAAGAGGGAACGTATGAGAACTGCTTCTTCAAGTCAAGTTGATATTCCTTTCCTAGTTTGTAGAAATATACTGCATGGAACAATTGTGATCTGGACTCAAAAGACCAGAGCAGAGAATAGAAGCACTGTGGTAACAGGAGGTGATACCTTTCAGATGGGAGGGGAGAACAATGATGATTCAATGGAAGGCAATAATACCACTGGGCTCAAAGAGACAGTGCTATCATGGGACAGTGCACCATGTAACCCCTGGGGTTCCTAAGCAGTGTTCAGTTAAGTTAGATAGCACTGAGGACCTGAAAAAGAGAAGGGTGCCACAGAGTATAGTGGTCAGGGTGCTTGACTTGTATGCACTTCACCTGGGTTTGATCTCAGGCACCCCATATGGTCTCCCGAACCTAACAGGAGTAAGCCCTAAGCACTGCCTGGTATTGCCCACAAAAAGTAAGGGGAGAAATAAAGGAAAAGATGAGGTAAGCATTACTTTTCATTTTGTCAATCTTTACATTGAAATTGATATATAAGGGTTTATATCAGTTATTTCTTTTTATGACCTGTCTACTTTGGTTCTCTCAATGTAGATGCATGTCTGGCCCCATTTGTTTGTATTTGTTATTTAGTCTTCTTTGGTATGGTTAGCCTCAGACTTTCTAAATCCATAAAGAGATTGGGTTCCAACGGTGTGTTAATAAGATTGTTGAACTCTAAATGTCATTTATGCCTCTAGCTAAGCCAGTTTACAATGAAGGGCCCAGAGGCAGAGCACAGGAATCTACTTAACCTGGAAAATACTTTGATGAAACAATATTGCTTTTAATAGAAAACACATTCAAAGTTTCAATTTTGATTTCAAGCAACATCTATAATTCATCCACTTAATGAATATTTATTGAATAATTTATCTTTTTTGGATTTCATGCTGGGTGTTGAGGATGCTGCATAGATGAAGTCCCTCTTTTCATGCTACATGTATTCCTTTTGGAAGAGAGTGTAAGATGATACACTAAAGAAAACAAAATCTACTCTTCCTGCCACCCCGGACCCCTTCAGCTGGGCAACCAGAGGATGCTATGGGGAACAGCCACCCAAGCACCTCCGGACTTCCCATCCACCTCTCTGCCGCAGTTATATTTCCCACTCCCAGCACTCTGGACTTTCATCCCAGGCTTTATCACCTAAATCTGTGGAAAGAATTCTGGCCACCTCAACTACAGTACAACAATAATCCACTGGCCTACTCCAATTCTAACAAAGGACCAGTACACAAGAAGCTGTACAAGCACAATATCAAAGCGCACCTCCTCCAAAGCTTCACTTGATACCTGTTATAAACCAAATAATAATGCCTGAGAGGAAGGTAGTCTCTAGAAAGAGAGAAGGGTGGCTATCATCAACCTACTTTACCCAGAATCCATTTCCATGACAAGAGGGAGTAGTGACAGTGAATTCCACGGTTCTACCTCTACACAACCAAAACAACATGAAGAAACGGCGCAAATCTCCACTATAAGGAGAGGACGAAGAAAAGAGTCCTGAATCCCCAACCAGGGTTATCCACAAATATGCTCTCTCTAATAAAGAATTCCGGGATGAAATGCAGAGGATGTTCAAGGAGCTACTCAAAGAATCAATGGAGGAGATATTCAGAAAGCTAAAGGAATAAATGAAAGAAACAGTATAACAGGTAGTACAGAAAATACAGGAAGAAATGAGAGCAGAAATAAAAAAGCTACCAAAAGAAGTGTCACAAATAAAGGATTGGATAGACGAAATTAAAAACTCAGTAGGTGCCCTCAGCAGTAGGATGAGTACAGCTGAAGACAGGATCAGTGAGCTTGAAGATGAGCAACAGAAATCACATAGGGAACAACAAACAATGGGAAAAGACCTCAAAATAGCTCTAAGAAGAATCAGAGACCTAGGGGATGATGCCAAGAGAAACAACATTAGAATCATCGAGTGCCAGAAGGACAGGGAGGCAATCCTAATGAAAAAGCCACACTCAAAGTAATCATTGCTGAAAAGTTCCCAGAGTTAAAGAATGCAGACATCCATATCCAAGGAGCCAGAAGGGTGCCAGCTAAAAGAGACCCAAATACAAACACTCCAAGGCATATCATAGTCAGAACGATGGATGCTGTGGACAAAGACACAATACTACAAGCAGCAAGGTCAAAGAAGGAAATCGCATACAAAGGAGCACCCCTTAGATTTACAGCAGACCTATCAGAGGAAACCCTCCAAGCCCTAAGACAATGGTGTGATATAGTGAAAAAACTCAATGAACTGAAGGCCTCACCAAGAATAATTTATCTAGCTAAACTCTCACTCATACTTGTTGGTGCGATACACCATTTTGTAGATAAACAACAGCTCTGGAACTTCATAGACTCAAAACCAAATCTAAAAGAAGGATTAAAGTAGCTCCTATAAGATAAGAAGGAAAACACTTATAAACCCAACCAACCGTAAAGAAATTTGGCACAAAACCCCAGTGTCTATGGTCTAAATGCACCAGTCAAGAGACACAGAGTGGCAAAATGGATCCAGAAACTGAAACCATCATTCTGCTGTCTAAAAGAAACTCATCTGAACAATCAGAGCAAACACAAACTCAAAGTTAAAGGATGAAAAACAATCCTGCAAGCAAACAGCTCCCTCAAAAAAGATTAGAAGGGATAGCAAAGGCCATTTTATATTTATCAAGGGATATGTACAACAGGAAGAAATCACACTCTTAAATGTATACGCATGTAATGAGGGGACAGCTAAATACTTAAAACAACTGCTAACATATTTTAAGGAGGACATCACTAGCAACACAATATTAGTTGGAGACTTCAACATCACCTTATCACCTCTGGATAGATCAACAAGAACAAAACTCAGCAAGGAAACATTGAAGGAAGAAATAGAAGAGAGAGGGCTTATAGACCTATAGAGGGCTTTACAACCCAAAATGAAATAATACACATTCTTCTCCAGTGCACACGTAACATTTTCCAATATATACCATGTGCTAGGCCACAAAACATACCTCACTAGAATCATGAAGATAAAAGTAGTATCAACAATCTTTTCAGACCACGATATGCTGAATATAGAAGTGAATCAC